CCTCTTTTTCCATGGGATTTGGGTGGTTTTCAGTTGCTTGTGTTGCTCTTATTAGTTGTTTTGCTTGTTGGTGCTGGTTTGCTGTGTTGACTGCTGTTTTCCTGACGTGTGCTCCAGCTGGTCGGGTGTGTGCAGTGCTGGGTTAGGTAGCGGTAGTTAGGATAGTTGTCTCTGTTTAGTGTGTGGAAGAGGTCTAATAGGACCTGGAAACACATGGTGAACTGGAGAGAAAGGGAACGGGACGGGTCCACAGGGAAGGGGGGGGGAGGGGCGAAGAAGAGTGAGAATAAAATAAAAACAATGATAGGAATAATAAGTGGCTGTCTGGATTGGTCAACAAATTTGAAAAAATAATAGGGAAATATATTTGATGAGGGATAATTAGAGTTAATAAGTTCCACTGAAATATATTTCACTAGGAAAAAGAAAGCAGAAAGAGATAATGGGTGGATGTGCAGGGAGAGGAGACACAAAAGAGACGAAGACCCAAGCGTGGCCTGGGTGTGGGTGCTAATATCTGTTGCTATGGCAACATATACCTGGGTGTGTCAATAAGCTCAGAGCTGGGTAAGGGAGCCCTTGTTTGGGTTAAAGACCTGCCTGTTTTTGCCTGGTGGGGGGGTTGTGAGGGGATGAGGGTGGGGGGCGGAGATGGGTGTTCCTAGGAGGGTGGGTTCACACTGGAAGAGATCACCAGAAGGGGAAGTGGGAGATAACTCCAAAAATATAATGAGAATATTATAATGGAACAAAAGTACAAAAACCAAAGAAAATAACAGAAAGTAGAAACTAAAGCTACCTTGTGAGTGAAGATTACTCCTCTTCCATAGTGTTGTGTTGTATATTCCTGCCCTGCCTGGGGGAAATAGGGCAAGTGTGCAAGGGGAGGCACTGAGAACTAAGCAGGGAGGAAGGAGGAACGGGCAGGGCAAAGCTGAGTACATTTATACCAAGCTGCCCAGCAGAGCTATCTCCCAGAGGCCCGGAGGTAAGAGGTTTGGCTGGTTGGGTGGCCTCAGGGGTTGGGGAAAATCAGCTGTGCTAGGGAGGAGCAGGGCTCCAGGACGCAGCTCTGAGAGCAGCTGGCCCATGGTCACGGGGAGTCTGTCAGCTGCTCTCCCACTTTAAGAAACCTGGGTCTATTTAGCTTTATGTGGAAATGTTTACTGCCAAGAAGTGCAGCATAACCCTCCTCGCGGACTTTGGTAGTTATGGAGGAGGCCTTCCTGTGCTTGTTGCCTGTCAGGCACCTTGCAGTCTCTCTCATTTGTGTTTAGTTGACTATGCAAAGGCATTCGACTATGACAAACTATGAATAATAGCCTTGGAAGATTGGAATTCCAGAACACTTAATGATGCTCATGAGAAACTTGTACGTGGATCAAGAGGCAGTTGTGTGAACAGAACAAGGGCATTCTGCATGTTTCAATCAGGAAAGGTGTGCGTCAGGGTTGTTTCCTCTCACCATACTCATTCAATCTGTATGCTGATCAGGTCCGCAGAGAAGCTGCAGTCTATGAAGAAGCACGGGGCAGCAGGCGTGGTGGAAAGCCCTGGTATTCTCCATAACCTCCTCTGTGTGTGAAAGTTGGACATCGAATACGGAAGACCAAAGGAGAATCCATGCGTTGTCATCATGGTGCTGGCAAAGAATGTTGACAATATTCATGGACCTCCAGAAGAACAGACAAATAAACCTGTGTCGGAAGAAATACAGCTCGAATGCTCCTTAGGTAAAAACGGCAAGATTTCGTCACGTGTATTTTGGACATTCTGTTAGGAGAGACCAGTCGCTGGAGAAGATCGTCCTGCTTGCTAAAGTAGCGGGCCATTGAAAAAGGAAGACTCGCAGTAGGATGGATGGCCACCGTGACTGCACTGGTGCGCTCAAACATAAGAGCCATGGCGAGGAAGCGGTCCACACAGGGTCGCTAGGGGTCCGCACCAAGGAGATGGCCCCCAACACCACCACCCTTGAACTACTCCTTTGGTTCTCCGAGCTCCCGAAATTCTAGATGTGTCCTTCCCTTTGGGGCGTCTGCTCTAGGCCTTTGCTGGTTTCATTTTGATACATGAATTTGTCTTCTCCACCTGCCCTGTAACATCGTTCCTTCCATTTGCTTTAGCTATCCTGTTTTCAAGAGCAAGTTTTCCAGCCTCTCTGACGTCTATTTTCGTGTTTCCTTTCTGTCCCGTTTTCCCTTTCTTGATGTTATCTCACAACCTGTCTTCAGTCATATGATAATGTGTCAAATCTATTCCAGAAATGGCCTCTCCGTTCTGCAGGTGGAGTCCTGGTGTCACAGTGAGTTAAGCATTGGGCTCCTTCACCACCAAGTTGGTAGTTCAAACCCACCAAGCTGCTCATGGGAGAAAGATGAATCTGTCTGTCCCATTACAATTTCCCATCTTAGAAATCCAACGGGTCCCTTGGCAGTGGAATCCACTTAATGGGACTGGGTTTGGGTTTTGGGGTCTTTGACTCCGATGAACGTGTTTTCATGTTCTTCTGTTTCCACTTCGACTTGCATAGGGACAATTGATGGTCTGTCCCACGGTCTGTTTCTGGCCTTGTTCTGCCTAATAACACTGAGCTTCTCCATGGTATCTTTCCACGGATATAAGGGATTTGACTCCTGTATAGTCCATCAGATGAAGTCCATGAGTCTTTGGTCATGCAAAAGGTTGTCATGTGATTTCCAGCAGTTGTGCCTTGTTACATTCCCACCACCTACACATGAAGGTTCTAATTTCTCTACATCTCCGTCAACACTTGTTAGTTTCCATATTTCTGGTTCTGAAGGGTGTGTGAAGTGGTATCTTCCTGTGGTTTTGAATGGTATTTCCTTAGTGACCTCACATCAACAATGACTACTACTTTTACATGCAATATTTAAATATTCAGCTGGTAGCTGCAAGGTTTGCTGTTTGAACCCACAGAGAGAAAGCAAGACCTTCTAACCTGCATAAAGATTATAGCCAAGGAAACCCTCAGGGACAGTGCTCCTCTGTCACATGGAATCATTATGAGTCACCTGTTGGTATTCAACAATGAGAGTGCACATGTGCTTGTGCTTATTGACAATTGGTGTATTTCTTTGGCTGGGTGTCTGTTTAAGTTCTTTACTCGTTTTGTAATTGCGCCATTATATTGTTGTTGAGTTATGAGTTCTTTATATAGCCTGGATACTAAATCCTTGTCATAAATGAGCCGCGGTGGTACAGTATTTTCGTGCTTGGCTGCTAACCAAAAGACTGGCGGTTGTGACTGGCTGACAGGAAGGAGAAAGACGTGGCCGTCTGCTTCTTGACGTAAAGGCTGCAGTCTCGGAAACCCACGGGCTGTTCTACTCAGTCCTATAGGGTCGCTAACTTGACAGCAACGGATCGTAACAGCAATGAACGTTCACTTTGCCCTCCTTTTTCTGTTTTGTTTTTGATTACCTCATGAGAACTTGAGGTCTTACAGCACGGGCCTCTCCAAGTCAGCCTGGGCATACACCACATGGAAATGTTGATGCTTTACCAAACTTTTTCCGTATACAGGTAAACAATTCAATTACCAAACTATAAGGACAGCTTAGTTTTGTTACACCCTGTACTAGAGGGCATTCTAGGCCAGTAAGTCAGACGCTGAACCATTTTGAATGCCTCTACAGAGCGTCTCCGGAACAGCCTAACTACATTTTTTATGGAAGCACAGAGCCTCCTCTTTCTCCACAAGAGAGCCTGCAGGGTTTGAACCACTGGCTGGGCAGTTAGCAACCCAAGCCAGCCAGGTATGGGATAAAGGACCAACTCGAGGTGCAGATAGCGAGAACTGGGCCTGCAAGAATCAGCCCTTGCATTTCTTGCTAAGAATCCAGAAGGCAGACACTCCGGACTCAGGGTTGATTTGCTGTCTCAGGGACCCACGAGGATCCCATACTCCCTCTAGCTGCCCAAGCCGGGAGAATGATATCCTTTCCGGGTTTTACTGCTCACCGCCCTCCCTTCCCGGGAGGAGATCTGCCTCCGCATTTTACCCAACGCCCCGAGCGCTGGGGCGTGGAGGCGGTACCGCGCACGCGCGCTGAGGTCTGGCCCGGGACGTGCGCGCGACCGGACGATTGCTAGTGAGCCGAGGGTCGGCCCCGGCGCGGGTGGCAGTCCCTGGAGGTCGTGGTCGGGAGCGCGGCGGAAGTCGGAGTGGGCGCGGGTCGCTCGGGCCATGCGGGGCGCCAGGCGGAGCCCGTGGGTTCGAGCCAGCCGGGGCTGGACGGGGTGGTTGGGCTGGGGGGCTGCGCCTGGGCCGCGGTGACGCGGGCCGAGAGTCTGGCCCCGGGGAGCGAGAGGCGGGCTCCGGGCGGCCGCTCCTGGTTGTGAACTCGCGGTGACCTTGACCGAGGAGGCACTTTATCCCCCCGAGGCGGCTGCGTGGCCTGTAAAACGCGAGATAGAATAGAAGCTCAGCGCCGTGGACGGCGGGACCCCTGTGCGGTCGGCGTCGAGAGGCCCGGGGAGGACTAGGCCGTTTGCCGGGCACTACCACCAGCCCCGGACGCTGGGGAGAGGGCTTCCTGTGCCAGCTTCCGGGCAGACCTCCCACTTCCATACGTTTAAACTTCAGCTATGTGTGGTGTCGTTGCCGAACTTTGCAGAGAACACCGGGCCATCGCGCCCGTGCGGGGGTTAGCATCTTCGAGGCGGGCGCTGTGGCCCTGACAAAAGGCCAGCACCCCTCCAGCCGGTGTGAGGGCCCCGAGCACTGGCGACTGGCACTGGCCAGACCCTGAACCTCTGCGGCATTGAAATTTGTGATTTTCCATGGTTCCAAAACGCTTCCCTCCCCCGTAGATTCAGGGCGACGATAGCCAGGCAAGGCCAGTGACTGCCCGAGTGAGGTTTCTGTAACAATGGAGTGAGTCAGCTTTCCAGGGAGCGCGATTTGTTGCGATTTGAGCCCTTGGGGAGTGGGGTGAGGGTGAGGGTGAGGGTGAGGGTGAGGGTGGAGGTGGTGGCGCGCAGGTGCAAAAGGCCTTCCCCTGTGGTGGGCCCGGGGCTTGCTGTCTAGCGGATACTAGGAGGTCGCACAAGTAAAGAGGTTTCAGACCCGGGAGAAATGTGTAAGATGTGGATTAACTTCAACCGCAACTTTTCACTGCAGGTGACTTACCATGCAGCTACCCAACCTCTGAATTGCGGCCCCTCTACTGACATGGCCCACCGGGGTGGGGAGAGGGACTTCCAGACATCCGCACGGCGCATGGGCACCTCGCTGCTCTTCCAGCTTTCGGTGCACGAAAGAGAGCTGGACCTGGTGTTTCTGGATCACAGCTATGCCAAGCCGTGGAGTGCCCACCCAGACGCCAGTAGTGCCCGCCCCACCCGCATGCTCTTTGTTACTCCCCGGAGACAACACGAAAGTACCATGTGAGTTTGGGCAACTCTGTCAGCGGCTTCAGGGCCCTCGCAGTGATCAGAAGGTGGGGGATCTGAGAGGAGAGGATCGGCCCTGGGAGGCCCCGAGGGAGTTGGAATGGGTCCCCTGGATGTGTAACTCAGGCGTCTCTTCAGCAGCATAAGGCTGTCAGGCCCAAATGGGGACCTCTGCATACCAGGGGTGTGAGCTAAGGAAGCAAAGATGGTCAGAGGCTCCCTTTAGGTAATAGCACTTGACCCAGAGTGAAGGAATTGAAGAGGATTATTTAACTGAAGAAAAAAGCAAAATGGAGTCCATTTAAAAAACTCACCCAGGAGGAGGCTCCTTTTGCCCGTTTAGTGTAGGGTTGGTTCTCACAGTGGGCCACACTGCTGCCCAGGGCCGCTGGGATGATGCGGAGGGGATGCAAAAGCAGAGGCCTACACTTGGTCCTGGGTCCTGGACTATAGGACAGAAGGTTTTGATTGCCAAGGGGCCACTGAGGAATCTTTTTTTTTTTTTCTCCTTGCAAAGGGGTGGCAGGCCAAATGAATTTGGGAACCAGGGGCTACTGTGCTGATTGGTTCAGTTTGCAACGGCACCAACAGCCTTTCTATGGCAGTGCATTTGACTTTTCCTGGCTTCCCATGCACACGATTAAGAGCAAATCCCCAGGACATCACCCTTGCGTGTAGAAGCCTGCTGCAGAATGCCACCCGTGGGTTTAATCTAAACCCTTCTGAGGTCTATTTATATTTTCAGAGGGCCTACACTACAGGGGAAGGGCATTTCATATTCCCTCCTGGACATGGGGTATCATTACCCCTGCTGGATGAAACTTACTTACCCCTTCCTTTGAGCTTCGAGGGGTTCTAAGTTCTATATTTCAAGGTTTATTTAGTTCTGCTTTGATGACTAAATCATGCCCTTACTCATAATTTCTAAATTGGGGGGGAGGGTAAAGAGTTAATGTTTGTTTTCTAAATCTGGCCCGATGTTTAATCTTTCCTCAAGCCAATGCTTTTGGGTTTCGTGGTGGTTAGACATGGTGTACGCGGCTTCTTTAGCCCCCCCTCACCCCCACCCCTATGTAAGCTTAATAAGCTAGAGGGGCCTTGGTGTGTCTGTGCTCTAAACACACATAAAAGAATGCTTTTTCTTTGCTGTCCCAGTGGGGGCTGCATTACGGTAACTGCTTTGATTGTACAGGCCCCTGTGTCTGTACCCTTACTAATCTTAGCGCAGTGACGATGCTTCTCGACTCAGGCACAACCGTAAAGCTCCTTTAAACAACATGGACTCTTTTTCTCTTAGCTATGTAGCTCATTGTTCTTGTGGATATCCAAATTCCTGTGTCCGTACCTCATAGGACCTCTTCTTACAAGTGAGACTCTGTGGGCTTGAACGTTGCAGTACTTAGAAGTTTAACCTCTTTTCTGAAAGGAGGTCCTTCCCCAGTCGAGAGGCACGTGGGAGTGGGAGCTTGGCGTGTCCCGGGAGCTGTTGAAGGCCAGTGTGGCTGGAGTGTGGTGGCAGTGGGTGCGTGAGTGGGAGCAGGGGAGACGGGCAGAGCTGCCTCCTGTAGGAATTCAATTCTAAGAGTGGTAAGATGTTACTGAAGGATTTTAAACTCATGATCTGATGTATATTTTTAAAAGATCCCTTTAGAGTTTTGTTGAGTAGATTATAGGAGTGCAGGAAGAGAATTCAGAAGCTCAGTCTTGAGGCTTTGCTGTGGTCCAGGCTAGAGGTGATGACAGCTCAAATTGGGGGGGGCGGGTAGTACAGATGGAGGAAAATGAATGGCCTTGACTTGAACCCACGGATGTGCTGTGGTGAACTAGAAAGAGGGGCCAAGTTTACAGGGCAAGGTGAAATGAGGCTGACTCCAATTTCTGGCTTGAGTGGCTAGCTGAGTGGTGGTGTCCTGAGTTGGGGAAGATTAAGGCATGATAGGTTTGGGATGGTGAGATAAGCGTTCACTTTTAGGCCTGTATTTCAAAGTGCTTAGCCCAATGTCTGGCGTAGAGAAAATAATCAGCTCTCTCATCCACCACCAAACCTAGCTGCCCATTATTTCACTTCATTTCACAATGATGTAATTATTCCAGGCATTGGACGGTAAGGCCGTAAGATCATCGAGGTCAGAATGTTGGAATGATGTATGGTAGACAACCGTGGGCCAATTTGGAGTGGTATTTTGGGAACAGTGACCAGGTTGGTGTGGTGACTCATGAGCTGGGGAAGGACCCTCCTTTGTGACACTAGGATTTCATTAACACCTTTCTGAAATGTGAAAAATCCTTCAAATGTCCATTCATGTGTGTTTTTGTTGTAGGCTCCTTGCGAAATGAGTTAAGTAGCGAAGGAATCTGGATTCCATGTGATCTGTCTTAGATAGTTTTAGGCTTTTATGAGCTTATAGTTAACTTACAAGCTTATTGTTAATGAAATGGAAAGTTTGTGTGAATGCTTGAAAGCTCTAGTAGACCAGTCGTGTCCAACAGAATTCTGCAGTGATGTAAATGTTCTATATCTGAGCTGTTCAGTATGGTAGCCATTAGCCATGTGTGGCCATCGGGCAGTTGAAATGTGACTAGTGTGGCTGAGGACCTTAATTTTAAACTAAATGGAATTTTTACCGATTTAAATTTACTTGTAAGTGGTCACTTTAAATTGTCACGCTCGAAGGCCATTTACGGGTTTAGCCAACAGACAGTATTTTCACATAAGTATTTGTCTGTGCTGCAATATAACCATGTATACAATAGAGCGAACAGGGGCAAAGGCATGTAAGCCTCTTAGCCATAACCAGACACCTAGAGGGAATGAGTGGCTGGGCCTGGAGGCGTAGGACCATAGTCCAGGGTGACATCAAGGTCAATTGGCATAATAGAGTCCACAAAGACAATGTTCTACATCCACTTTGGTGAGTAGCCATCTAAGGTGCAACTATTGGTCTCTCCCCGGCCATAGCAAAGAAGAGTGAAGAAAATAGAAGACGTATGGACCACAGCGAACCTCGGCCTCCACGACCCTGAGACCAGAAGAACTAGATGGTGCCCAGCTACCACTGCTAACTACCCTGAAAGGGATCACAAAAGAGGGTCCTGAGTAGAGTGGGAGAACAAAGAGGGACAAAACTCAAAATCATTAAGTAGACCAGGCTTGCTGGTCTGATGGAGACTGGTGGACTCCCAAGACTATGGCCCTTAGCCACTCTTCACTCCTGGAACTGAACTCACCCCTATGACTCAGCTCTCAGCCAGACAACATACAGGCGTAGAGGGGAAGAATCACATCCGAGAGGTACACACTCCTTAGAACAATCAACCGTACGAAACCAAAAGGACGGCATTTGCCAAGAGATAAAACTCTGGAAAGCAGGAAGGGACAAGAAAGAAGGATGAATAATAATGGTAAAACACAGGGAGGGTGGAAGTGGGAAGAGTGCTGGTACATCTGGGGGACTGAAATCAATGTATGAATTGTTGAATGGAAAACCAATTCACTCTGTAAAAGTTTTAAATCATAATAAAAAGTTTAAAAAAAAAGTCACTTGTGGCTAATAGCTACTATATTGGACAGCCTAGGTCTAGATAATGATTTGCTTTTGGAAGTTAGCGTCTTAAAAAATTTTTTTGTTGCATTTTGATTACACTCATTTTAGATAACGATTTGTCCAGCACAAACCAGCATCATGTCAGAGAAGGTAGAGGTTTAGGCAAATGTGGGGAAGAAGGCTGGTCAGAATCTTCTTGGGGGTATAATGTGCTTGTGCAAAATTTAAAATGTATTAAAAGCTGGTTTTTGGCAACCAGATGATCATTAGACATCTGTGTTGCATGAAGTATGCGTGGCCTGGTCCTATTTCCCCACCTATTCACAGTGAATCAGAAGTCCCAATAGATGTAGAGACGGTCACATCCACTCCCGTGCCACTCTATGACAATCAGAAGGCACGCAGCGTGATGAACGAGTGTGAGCGGCATGTCATCTTCGCCAGGACCGATGCGGATGCCCCACCCCCACCGGAGGACTGGGAGGAGCATGTCAACAGGTAGGTGGCTCAGGACGACGCCTTCGGGTTAATGGCAGTGCCTTACAATTATTTTCTATGATCATCTTTCTTCAAGCACATTTGTTAGGAGCTTATTTTGTTTGCAGTCATGCGGATTGGTGTATTCTAACTCGCAGTGTAGCTCTGGGCAGAGCTTGTGTCTCAGCCCTCTTTGTACACTGGCCATCTAGGACACTACCTGGCACATCAGAGACATGACTTGAATAAATTAGTGCATGACATTTGGTAGATTTGATTAGCTCAGTAGCTTCTGTAGATAGTGTAGGTTATAATGTAAGGGTCACCTAGACTCTAAAAAACACCCCAAACATTAAATATGTGCACTTTTGTAAGATGTTGTCTTTATGCTCTATAACCTTGAGTAGTGAAGCGGCTTTGGAGTTACAGGAAGAGCTAAGAGAGGTGTACTTTTAAGAAAGGTCTGTAACCAGTGGCTTTGATGGAGACTGAATGTTCCATCTCATTAGTGCGTTGCCTAGGTTTGTTCTCGAGCTAACTGCTGTCCCCAAGGAGTTCAGCCTTTCTCTCCTGGTCATTTTTTGTTGTAGTTTTGGCAAACATTGATTTATTTGCCTGCCTCGCTATTATGTAAAAGCTTTATGTATGCAGTTCACTTATTTAATATATAATTCAATGGTTTGTAGTATGTTTCCAGTTGTACAGTTATTACTGTAACCAGTTTAGTACTTTCATTAATTCCAAAAGTAACCCCCTACTCATTATCAGCCACTCCCATTTCCTCCATCTGCCCCCAGTCCCACGCAATCACCATTCTCCTTTTTGGCTATTCTGGATATTTCATAAAGCGCCCCGGTGGCCTCGTTGGCTATATTTCTTACAAGTGGAATCAGATGTAGCCTTTTTGTGACTGTCTTAACGCGTTCAAGGTGCGCTCATGTGGTATCATCAATCAGCACTTCATTCCTTCTTATAAACAGATCATCCTCCATTGCATAGCTATTCTGTGAAAACTGAGAGTCAGATCTCTACAGACTGACTGCCCGGGTGATACCTTTAACCGGGCACCTTCCGGGAATATTTGAGTTTTCCTTCCTTAACAGGTTTTCCCAGTATCTGTTTTGCCTTTTGCAAGTTTTACTGTACCACATTCTCTTTTTCCATTTATCAGTGGATGGTCATTTGGGTTGTTTCTACCTTTCTGCTCTCTACAGTAATGCTGCTTTGAATATTGATGAACACATTTCATCATTTTTCTTGGCTATATGTACCTAGGAGTGATGCCAGCCCCATTTCTGTTCCCACCAGCAGTGTGAGGGCTCTAGTGTCGGCATAGCTTTGCCCACCCCAGTCTTTTCCACTGTCATCTTTTGAGTTGGTGTGACAGGTATGGCGTTGTCATTTTGTTCACCGCTTCCCTTTAGCTGCTGGGCTCAGGCAGGAGCCTTGGTGGTGAGGTGCTTTAGGCCCTGGGCTCTGCTGTGAGGCTCCCACCCACCAGCTGTCCTGCTGAGAAAGGTGAGGCTGCTGGTTCCTGTACAGATTTACAACCTTGGAAATCCCAGGGAGTAGTTCTACTCTGCCCACTTAGGGTCACTATGAGTTGGAATCAACTCGATGGCGGTGGGTTTTTGTTGTTTATTTTTACCCTGTGCATGAGGATGCTAAATATCAAGAGTTGATACTTGGTAAACTTGCCATGAAACTAGAGTGCTATTGCTGTATAACCAACCTAAGGAGTGAGAGATTGTGATCCAAATCTATGGTGAGGAGGGTGTAGGAGGCCTGGTAGGGCGTGATCGAGGGTAAGGTAACCAAAAGGAATTACTGAAACCCAAATGAAGACTGAGCATGATAGTGGGACAAGAGGAAAGTAAAAGGAAATACAGGAAAGAGCTAGGAGGCAAAGGGCATTTATAGAGGTCTAAATAAAGGCACGTACATATATATGTAAACATATCTATATCTGAGGATGGGGAAATAGATTTATGTGCATATATTTGTAGGTTTAGTATTAAGGTAGCAGATGGACATTGGGCCTCCACTCAAGTACTCCCTCAATGCAAGAACACTTTGTTCCAT